TTGCTGAAGCCACTTTCAAGAAAATTATTATCTTCTTTTAAGACTGGAATACTAAATTTAATTAACAAAATTTCGGTGACCGCTCACTTATCTTTGCTTAAAACTGCATTTTCAAGAATTAAAAAGACCTTGTCAATATTGAAGACATAAGATTTCTTGAATTCCTTTCTATCTGCAGGGGAGATAACTAGTGACTGTTGAGCACTGCTGGTGGAGGAGATGATGTAATCGTTATCTGGGAGGTACATGACTTGTTTCACTATGTCAGGAAGAACCTGTAGAGTGGGATCTCCATGGGAAATTTTCTCATGAGCCACAAACTGAGATTGCTGTCCTTTTTCTATTTCCTATAATAAGTATGACAAATAATGTTTAGATACATGAAGATTTAATTATCATGAGTATGTGATGGTAATACTAATACTGCAAGATCAGTGTGCACGAACAAATATGACCATTTTTTTTCTTTTAAGTTGAAAAGGCTTCTTTTTCTTTAATGCAGAACATTCTGAAATTTAGCATTGCCATAGAAAGAGGTTGACTATGTCAGTTTCTTCACAAAAAATATTTAACACTGCAATTTAAGCACTTAATTGTAATGAGTAAGAATTTCACAATAATGTATGTCTACTCACACTCCAGAAGATTTTTTGAACCCCTTCATCATTCTTGAAGGGTGTCTCAAACAGTTGAGAGACAGGCTTCTTAAAGGTCATTGTGTGAATGTAACCTGTGTCTACTCCAAATATTAGTTTGGATGGATTGCTAGGATTCTGTGGAGTTAGAAAGATGAAAAGATTTTATAAGAATTTAATTTGACATCAAGGGAAGTTTCTCATACAAAACATTTACCTGTATTAAATACATCACTAAAATACATTGATATCTGTCTGTTTATATTAGTATTATAAATTTGCAAAAAGAATGATTAAATCTGTTTAAATAAAAGGAAGATTCAGTCAATCACCATTGTTTCTTTTTATCTTTAAGTGCATTGATAAGATTGACAGTCTATTTCAAATATACAAAGACTCAAATCCATTTTACACCACCCACTGGAAAATAATGAATCAAATACAGTGTCCAAAATCTGTTTCAATTCAATTTGTTTTTAAATAGAAAGGACAGACTCTCAAGCAAAAATTTATTTATCAAGGACAAATTTATTAAAGCCATATATCTACCTTGACATCGTACCAGTAGTCGAAGCAGTATGGAACATCTGACATGGCTAAAAGATAAAAGGTATTTTATGTACACCTCTGAAGTGATACATGATGGATTTAGTATTTAATTACAGCCATTTTAACCAAATATACCCCAAACCAAAAAATATCTCACACACAGACAGAGCTATAAAATATTGTTGAAGAAGGACTTATTATTAGACACTTGAAATTTACTAAAGTAGTATATAAATCACTTTGGTGGGTTCATTTTTGACAAAAAAAGTTCTTTTGAGGATAAATTTGAATGGGAAATCTCACCAAAGAGTTGGAACTCTTCAAAATGTTGATTTGTGGAGCAGTCATAGAATCTAATATCACGACTGGTAGAGCCAATCACCAGTTTATTACAGTTGGGCAAGAATATGGCGTCAGTGACCCAAGTCTTAAACCTCCTCTTCTGCCCCGAGGAGTCGTTCTCTTCATTTGTTATGGAATAATATTTCTCTACGTAGTTAAGACTAGGCTGCCAGACATTTACAACCCCCTCCTGAAATCATAAAAAAGTTTTATTTTTCCTTAGAAAAAAATTACCGGTAAAACAAGCAGAGCAAAACAGTTATGCTACTGAAGCATAGTTCTTAAGAATTTGCTGAACCTACAGCTAAGTTATGGTCCAAAAAAGTGCCATTGAAAGAACTTTATTTTCATAAATTGCGAGAGAAAAAAAATTTAAGTGTTGACAAAGCATGGCATCAGTCTAAAACTTTTGGAAAAAATGAAAGAATTCACCTTGCTGATTGTGATGTATCTAACTGTCCCTGTAGTAGCAACTATCTTTGTTGTTTGTTCTTGCTGAAAAAAGAAAATGTAAACAGACTGATGCTACTGAGCAAAAAATATAACACAACTATACTCCTAAGTTTGTTAGAAAGACTGAAGCCAAAGGCAGAACACTGACTGATAATAATTAAAATATTTATTATTTGTAGCTTCTAGAATACCAGTAAGTATGAGGGCTGAAGCAAAATAATTTTTTTATTAAGCAATATATGCTTTAATTAACATGATTCATACCCTATTGTGAACAATGTGTCTAAGTTTGGGTTCTATGAGGAATGGGATTTCCCTTTTGGTCCTCATGTAGTCATTTTCTCTGTACAACAACAGCATATAAGTGCAGAACTCATTCCAGTCCACGTAGCCATCTAGGGAGGTGTCAAGCTACAAAATGCATTATGCCAAAAGTCAATCTTAAAGGCTGCATACACTTAAAATCACAAAAGATAGCAGGGATGTGGTTACAAATAGCATTCTGAATTTATGTTTGATATAGGATGTTAGTGTTATTTCACCCTGAGAAATAATTCTTTTTAAATGCACAAAATGCTTCTTTTATTGCTATGAAATCCCCTGATGCAATTTCATTCAGAGCAAAATCAATCAAATTCTATAACAGGTAACAATTTATCTTCAAAAGATTTGGGGGTAATCCCTAAAGGTGGCACAGTGATATAACCAGGAAAGGTTTGATGATAGCAGTCTGCACCTGTGTCCATAAATATCTTCTTTTTTTATTCTTAAAATGTGTAATGTTTTTCGAGTACAAATCAACATATTTTACAAAAACAGATTCTTCCTACATTCAGTAAGGCTAAAGATTATTAATTAATAATCTACCTAATACTCAAACAATCTCAAATATGGAATGTTTCTCAGGAGGGTTTATCAGCAATTTTTACAAAACCCACAGTACTACTAGTATATATAATAAAAAAAAAATATTTCTGCAAATGCAAATTTTTGCTTCTGAAATCAAAATCATTTTTTTTCTTATTTTAATATTAAGACATCCTTTTTCCATATCTGATAGTTTCAAACTCATTGCCAAAAAAGTCACTGTGCTTTTTTCCATCAATTCAAATAGCTCCTTTATTACTCGTATGGAACACTGCGGTACTGTTTTTACCAGTTACAAAAAGGTATGTAATTCACTCTTGTTCCTATCAATAACCTACCTTTGTAAAGAGTTTCTCCAGATACTCCTCATACTCATGAGTCCTGAGGACCTGAGCCACAGTGGCCTTGAACTCCTCCAGGTTCATGGCCCCTGGAGTCCTCTTCTCCACCTTGGCCGGGAAGTACGCTGACCCCGCCTGTTTGACAATGTCATCAGGTTTGTGTTCTTGGAAGGCTTTCATCAACTGGTGGAGATGGTGCAGTTTGATCTGTTCCTCCAACCTTTGTGTTTTGTCCTTGTCACTAAAACTACAAAGATAGAAATAATGTGAAAACTTACTGCATGGTCCTCAAACAAATATCTCTACTCCTGTATGCAACTGTTTTACGTCTTGCAGTGTAGAGTTCTGATACCCCATTGAATGTCAAGTTGAAAGTTTGCTTGGACAGTACTGTATTTACAAGCAAAAGACATACATGGAAGTGAATTACATGTAATTCACACTGAAAGAGGACAATTCCATTTACCTGTACTTCGTATGCATCATATAAGCAGAAGCAATACAGTAAAACTAGGTTACAGCAAAGTCCTGGGGACCTGTGAATTTACTTAATTTTATTCATAGTTCAGTTTATTTGTATAATGAATTCTTTACAGTAGATATAGCAATTTCTCAATATAGAGTTTTTCCTTGAAGTACGTATTACTATCAAATGTATTTATGGAGGTATTAAATTTGGATGCAAGTAGGATACACAAAATCAGTTTGCTATATTCGTACATTTGCTATATCTGAGTTTGTTATATCTGTAAAATTTTAAAAGGAATTGCTAAGAATTTTTCCAGGGATTCAAAAAAACTTCACTATATCCGTAAATTTGCTATATCAGTGTTCCTACTAAACAAGTTTAACTGTACTGTGAACTTTTTAAAAAATATTATTAATATATTATTTTATCTATGGAATATTATTAATTTAAAAAATTGTATTTTGTACATTCATTTATATGTGATAATTATTTAATAGAACAAATTTACATGCACATCTTGAGAATTAAAATTCCAGATTTTCACATATCAAATGTGCAGAGTTTATCTTGATGTCCATCGGCATGATTTTGAGGTTATACTACCGATATTTCAAAGAGTATAATTGCAATGTATAGCTTATTTTGTCAATAAAAGTTTAATCAAATAGAATTTTGTAATCCCTATGCAGGTGCCTGGAATTAGCCTAGCTGACATTTTGTGGCTTAAAACTTATGTGAAGTATGTGAAACTTGAACCAAATTACCTTCAAAATCAACAGTTTGACAGTCATGTTTAGTATTGACAAAACTCAATAATAACACTTGCTCTAGTTATTTAAATATTTATCTACATTTTGCAGAATTGTATAAACAAATCTTGTTAATTCTGCTGAATTAAGAAAGTTTTAGAACATTGGGAATTTTATGATTTCTTAAAACAAAAGGTCCTTATATAAACTGAAGTATATACCTTTTACACATAGTACAATTATCATACAGTTCATCATATAAAAATGCATGTCCTGATTTGACAAATCTACATATAACATAGTCATAGGCCATCCACAGCAGTGCAACTCATAATAGGTGTAGATTTCTTTCTTGGACAATTTTGTACAATTTACATGTTCATAAGGGTTTACGAAATTGTATATATACTCCACTGAGTATATATACTCCACTGATCCCTAAAATCTTTTGTGATCCCTTTTAATTTACAAGAAGCTTCTTTACATACTTGTAATGTATAACATATATTATGTTCATGTCCCTTTCACAAGTTTTTAAAACAATTCTAGGTCAAAGTTATTTTATCAATATCTATTTTCTTCTGGCTTTAAAATTCCACTTAAACCTCGAGTGACTGTGTAAACTTGAAACTGCCCATTAATAACAAGTTTTGTCATATACAAGTGCATTAGTGAGTGTACGTCAAAATTTTCTGACCATAATTTACACAAGATTATATAGCCAACTTGATTCTAACTGTTTGTGATGTCAATGGTGACCAGAAAGTTGGACAAAATGTTTGAAGTACCCAGTATGTATCAATGTTTAATATGTTTCAATTATAGAGCTTAATGCAAACAGGCCTCTTGATATACCCAATAACGGGTTGATTTTAAGGTTTTACGCAGAAAGTCCATTAGGCCACTTGTGGCTACTTGAATAAAGTTAAAGTACAGATTACTTATAGCAAAGTGTCTTGATTTAATGTTGATTAACATTTGACATGCATTTTTTATGATTATAATTGAGTTGAAGATATTCTGTTTTTCCCATTGAAGATATATGGGATACCGGTACTTCAAAATAAATCAGAAACCAATATAGCAATAAACTTCTCTATGCTCATGCAGGGTTCTTCAGTGGTTTAAAATGGTTTATAATGTAAGCAACACAAACTACTAATTAATTTTTTTAAAGCATCTCAATAAATTCATTAAAAGATCAATAGGAATAAAATATTTTAAAATTTTACAAAAAAGAATTACAAATTCTAAAATACCTAACCCCCCCCCCCCTCCAAAAAAAAAAATTAAAATAAATTTGACATTTCATTTCACTTTTTTGAACTTATCATATCTGAATCAGAGATGTATCTACAAAAAGCTTAAGATGAACCTCAGTGAATCAAAACTCTTTCAACCTGCCATATGCTGGCCTACACTAATATTACCCAGGCCCATAGGAAGCAATTTCAGTTTGGGGGGGTCACAGCCATACATTTTCAGTTGAGGGGGCACTATCAACTACCAAAAATTCCTTGACAAGCAAAAAAAAAAAGGTCATCAAACGTTTTTATTGAGGGGGCACAAGCATACAGTAGCTATGTTTTCTATAGTAATCTATATATCGGCAAAATTATTGGGGGGCATGCCCCCCCCCTCCCCGTTTCCTACAGCCATGTAACCTCTAATTAAAACATAATCCTGAGGAAATATCAATGATGTTATAACATTATACACATGTATTGATGTGTTTTCTTCATCATATCAACCTTATTCAGTGTAATATTCCAACCTCAATATTCCACCTCAGGTAACCCACTTTTTAAAGAATGAGGGAGGATTGGATTCAGTTTTGGCTCTAAAACTTGGAATAATAGTACGTGTATATCACACTATTCAAAATTTTCAGATATAATGTGATAAAGTTCACCTTCTTCCAATTTCATTCTTGTTTAAGGTTTGATGACACATTCCTCAAATATCTGATTTTGTATCTCTTTGTAACATACCAAATCTTTTCAATTATTAATAATTAAGGCATTAAATAGTCATGCAAAGAATTGCAAAAATACTACAACTTGCCTAGTAAAAATCATATGTCAACTACAGCAAAGTAAATCTTTATTGTGTAATGGTAGAATACAATCAAAAATATTATTGCTTGATTTTTTAAGAGCATATAAAGGGGAATTTTTCACTCAGTACTAGGGTAAAATGACTTCTCAATAGGAAAATTTCTCTTGGGGAAAAATACCTAATTTCAGTAGGAAAAAATGGCCAAGATATTATCGTCCCTGGAAGTGGAAAAATTAAACCATCTATATTAATGCAATCTTCACCTGGTACATTTAATTATATACATACCATTAATGCAGCATTCTCTGAAACAGACTCAGATAATTTTACAATAGCTATTCCACAAAAAATATTCATGGCAACTTTTACAGTCTTAACAATTTTGAAGTATTTTTTTATGGAGACTAGTAAGAGTCTTGCTAATATGCATGCTACATTCCTTCGCATATTTGCAATTTACCTAATTTATATACATGTACATATCATGAAGGAGAGAGAGAGAGATGAACAAACTTGCCTGCAATCCATTCTAAGCATGATTGTAAATTAATAACTGCTTATTCCATCAAAAGAATTAATTCTGCTGCATATTTTGCAAGTACTTTTGCAATCCATGAAGACACAATAAATTGTTAATTTTCACTGTCCAGCCAATGAAGAATGCCTTACAACACGAAACATGAATATGAAGCTGTTTGATTTACAGAGAACATTAGATTGTTTTGAATTTATCATCCAGAATTGATCCCAAAGTTTATATAACTCCTGAAATCATATACAAAGAAAGCTAATGAGAATCATTCCCAATTTTCAACAGATTCCATCAAGTAGAACTTTCAAATAGAGCCATATACCTCATAATACATATACTTTTAAGGAAAATAGTCATTTAACCCATGAAATCTTTGATCAGAAATGTTTACACTATTGATTCTAATGAATCCATCTCCTAGCATCCATTAAAGAAACAATTAATATCGCAGACAAAACACCTTTCAAGGTTTACATCAACAGACATGAATTTTCTTTGTCAAAGATGAGCTTGTATGGAGCCCTGGAAATTAGAAGCCACATAATTATTTTGAAAGATAATCACCCCGCCTCTGCATAGCATTCTCAGGTCTTCATTTTTTCTCGTCATTTAAATTGTCAAAAAAAAGTCAAATCTTTCTGACAGACCTGACAGAAAAGTCAATATCATTGTACTAAAATGTCAACACTTTGCAGTGATAATATGGTACATTAATGTACCAGATAATTATTTTCAGTCATACATCGAACAAATTACTATATGTAGTGTGGTTCTCTGAAATAAACTCTTTTGTGCCTCACACTACCAACTACCGATTCCAATCAACTTTATAAATAATTTTTTTGAAAATAAAATAATTAAAAATGTGAATAGTCACACACTTTTCAAAACAGCAATTATTGATCTGAACATATAGGTCAAAAGCTATCAAAAATGCAGACACAGACCTAGTATATAAGCTTTAAAACACAGAACAAACTTAAGGATATTAAAGTATTGCATGCGTGCAGGTCTTGGAGAAAAAAACTTTATTTTATTATTAGCCTTACTTGACATATGACTTAATTACAAAAAGAAACAAGAGGCCCATGGGTCACAACGCTCACCTGAGTAACTTTGGCCTTGCTGTTTTTCACCTGATCCCCCCCCATTGAAGTACTTATTGTGGCCCCGCCCTACCCCCAGGGGTTATTATTTAAACAATTAGAATCTACACTACCCCAGGAAGCTTCCACTTAAGTTTCAGCTTTTCTGGCCCAGTGGTTCTGAGAAGATTTTTCTTACGTATTTCAATGTGAAAATGTGATTCCCTTTCATGGCCCCGCCCTACTCCCAGAGGTTGATTCAAACAATTTAGAATGTACACTACCCCAGTCAAAGTGCTTCTTGAGAAGAAGATTTTTACTACATATTTCATTGTAAAACTTGGATTCCCTATT